ATATTTATTATCTCTATCTTATAATTGTATTTTATATAAATATCCTGTATTGTCACCTTGACAAACTAACAAGTTTCTATCTTATAATTAATAAAGTATAATCTTAACAATATAAAAACTATATCTTTGCTAATATCTATTTTCTTAAAACATAAATTATTAATAAAGATGACCTGACCCTTCAACTTAAATAAATTCGTGTTTATTTTTTTCATAATTTATAACTTAAACTTTCTGTTAGTAAATAAGCTTTATTATCCTAATGATATAGTAGTACTTTTATACTGATGAATTTATCAGAATTAAATAACATTTGAAAGTCTTCACAAACTTTTTCAAGATAATAATTCTATAACTTAATAAAAGACTTATATATAAATTATTTTAAGTATCTTAATAGGATTCTGTTGTATTATAAAAACACATTTTAGTTCATAACTAAATATTTAAAATAGTCTTTTAAATGTATTGTGAAATCTATAATACTCTTTATTTTTGCTATAAATAAATTACAATGATTATAATCAATTTAATTAATATAAATTTATAATAAAAATCTTAAAATTACTTTATCTATATCTATTTTATTCTTATATATAATAGTAAGATTGTTTTGAGCTGCTTTATACCCTTATTAAGTTGCCTTTTATACCAATAAATGGCAGTTTCTATATTTTTTTTTTAACTTTATCTCCATTTTTATATATAATAATCTTGTTTAATAACCTTTTTATACCAATAATTTGCTTGAGATATTTTTATTAATTTTATAACCATTTTTATACATTTTTATAAGATTATTTTGAGCCAATTTATGTTCTTATTTAACAGATCTTTTTAATTATTTAAAGGCTTTATTTATATCTTTATCAATACAATCTTCATCTTTATGTCTAATGACAAAAATATCTTGATTATAATCATATTCTTGTTTAGCATAATCTTTATCTTTCTAGATGATAATAAAATTATTCTGAGCCTTTTTATGTCTTTGATCAGCAGACTTTTTATACAAATAAATGGGTTCATATAAATCTTTTTTAATATCTATTCCATTTACAAACAAAAAGCAATTTCTGATTGTTCTATAAAAAATCTTTTATTGAATACTTTTTCATAATATTCAAATACTACCTTTTCATTTTAGTAATACCATGACTATTTTGATAATATTTTCTAACATAACATTATACTAGAATATGACTTTTCTTTGAAGTCTTAAAAAATAAATTAAACGCTTTTTCATAATTTATTCTCGTTAAAAAAAATAGCATTTAAGTCAATTTGATTGTTTGAAATCTAAACATAAATTTGATATAAGGTGACATCTTGATGATTAAAAAAATTAAAGACTAGTTCTCATTTGACATCAAAAAATTTTCCTCTTTTAGTCTATTAAAGATAAAAGTTACAGTCTTACCAATAAATATACTTAAATTTTTTTCAGTTTTAATTTCTTCATTATTTGATATTATCAATATTTCAACTAACTCTTTTGTGTTCATTATATTAAAATTTTGAATGGCTTAAGATAATTCACCATGTATCATCATTACAGTTCTAACTATTTTATTAGTATTCATATTTTCAAAATTTTGAATGCTTTGAGATAATTCTCTATAAGACAATATCATTGAAGTTCTAAATATTTCATTTGAGTTTGTATTTTCAAATTTTTGTATAGTTTGAGATAATTGTTTAAGTGATAAAATATCATTCCATTTAAGTTTATGTATTCATCAGTCTTATTAATAAAACCTTTACTTTGGTCATAACCAATTGTCAAAGTAGACCTTACCATCATCATTTGTAATCTTTCAACAATATTATACATATACGGTCAATTTTCTGGTTTGCCATCTTAACATTCCAATAAATGTAAAAATTGAAGTAATTAGAAATTAAAAATCAAGCTGATAGATGTGCATTCATACTTATTAAGGCCAAACAAATATTATAAGTTCTACTTTTAACGTAAAATGGTAGATATTCACTTTATATCTCTCATAACAATATTTTAATACTATAAATGCCACTCTTTTCATTTATTAGATATGATTGTTGCCCTTTAAATCTTTTTAGATCAGCATATAGAATTATGCCAAATAATTTTGATTGAAAATTAATAGTCTCTTCAATCCTCTTTAATAATCAAAAGTCTGCTAACTTGACATTATTCTGAAGAATCAATATGTTATTGGAATGCTAATGTCAAAATACATTAAAATAAAATAAATATTAATACATATGATATTCATTACAATTATATAATATGTAAATGACCAACTAGATCATAATGCATAATTCCCTTATCATGCAAGATTGTACTAGTCAATTGACAAGACAAGCTTAATTTATCATTCCAAGTAAGATCTTTGAATTTTTTCTTTAAATGATCTCGAAGAGTACCATTTTCAGCATATTTCATTACTGATAGATATTATTTTGATTTCCTAATAAAAAATTAAAACAAATGTTATTTCATTAACTTATCATTTTATAAATGATAAAATAAGAATAATAATATTTAATAGTATTCAAATTATACCTGATTCAAATTTCATTATACTAAAATGAATTATATTGTGAAAATCAACATTACATTGAATTTTAATCTTTAAAAAAATCACAAATTTCTAATAAATTTCAGTAGAATATTATAAAGATCATACATAACATGAGCTTTAATACATAATTAATTACCTTATGAATATGGTTAGATCAGTTCAGTCTGATCTAGTCTAGTCTAAAAAGATCAGTCTTTTATCATTTTTAGGACTGGACTGATCTATAAGTTAGTTCTAGGACTAGTTTTTGTATATTTGGTCCTATCAGTTTGGTCTGATCTAAAATATGTTTTCTTTTCAGTCTGGACTGATTGATAAGACCGGTTTAAGAACCAGTCCTTAGTTAGCATTAAAAATGGCATTGCAACTGGTTGCAACCAATGACAAATAAGCATCATATAGTTGCAATTAGTTGCAACACTATTTTTAGTTAGCATATAGTATTAAAGTTTAATTTTAAAAAAGATAAAAATAAATTGTTTTTTATTATAAATGAATACAAATATATATTAAATTAAATTGTTTAATATTAAAATAAATGTTCCTTCCTTCTTTACTAATTACTGTTCTACATTAATTATATTATTTTATTTTTCACAAACATCTTGATGAAATTAACTCTTTAAACACAATATTACCCTAGCTATTTCTGCTTTTAATCTATTTCTTAAAGGTGAAATAACTAATCCAGCAACTAAAAAAGCTTGTTTTAAAGCTACATTTGTAGCTTGAATACACAAATAATCCCTTACTATTTGACTTAAAATTGAAAAACCTTATTGTTATGATTTTTACCATAATAAAGGATCAATTTGGTTTTTTAATGGCATTGCTAAATATCTATCTAGCTCTCCTTGAATATTATA